CTCTCTCTTTCTCCCCCCTTCTTCCCTCTCTCTCTTTCTCTCTCTCTCTCTCCCCACCCCCTTCTCTCCCTCTCCCCTCTCTTTCTCCTTTGTACTTGGACCAAGATACAGGAGGCAAGCTACCTCCTTGAGAGCTACCAAGCATCTCTGCCTGTGACTGACCTCAGTGCTCCTTCAGGCCTTTGATTCCTGGGGCAGGAGGAGGAGCAGAAGCACTGCAGGACTTTGCTCCTGTAGGTGACTCCCCAGCCTGGGGCTCTGCCCAGAAGACCAGGCTTATCTTGCATGTCACATCCCCACGAGCTGCTCTGTCGGTTCTCTCTGAAACTAGACCCTCTGCAGTTCTCCATCAACAGCATGGGAGTCCCTCACCTTTCCCCAGGGCCCTCTAGGTGGAGTGGCTCTCCTGCTTGTGTGGAAAGCACACTACCCATATGCATGACTGGGGTACAGAAGCTTAGTGATCCACAACCCTCACCACCCTGGGACCAGCTCAGACAACCCCTGATGTTTTCTTTGATTCTCCTGTCAACTTTGGGAGGTGGGCCCCATTGGTTATCAATATCAGAAGGGAGATTAAGACTCAGAAAGGTTTATCAGCTTGCCCCAGGTTACACAGCTAGGAGATACTAATCCAGGATAATATCAGTATGTAGGGACCCAGTGTGTCAAGGAGTCCCCTGTACCCTTGAGCATGAAGCAAGCACTCTTTATTTAGTGGCAAAGACTTGAAGCTCTAGCTGAACGCCCTACGTTTTAAGCCCCCTCATCTCTAAAGTGGGAAGCTAAATGACAATGACATTATTCTTCAATATCGTGAAGAGTAAACAAAGTGACCTCTGCCAGGAGTTGAGCATACTTACTGTGTGTTTGGCTTTAATTGTGTAATGCATGCACATGCGGATCTAGCTCCGTTCCCATATGTACATGGGCTTCCCCACACATAGATGGATACACATGCATAACTCACCCTCCCCCATGCCTCATTCCATTCACCCGTGCACACACGGACATTGCAGGAAAGGTGCACACATTGCAGTTGCACCTGGAAACCCCACAGGTGCCCTGGTTCATCCCATTGGCCATCCTCAGAGGTTTGGGTCCTGTTTGCTCCTCATAGGACAGTGGTGACTTTAGTCAAGAGTCCTATTGATGTCTGAGTCAGTGGCATCTAGGAGAGCCCTGACAGTAGCCATGGGTAGGAGGGACAGGTGGACACGTCTGCCCATGTTCACCCATGCCCACCTAGGCAATGTGTTCAGCCTGCCCATCGTGGCTTGTTGGAGATGCCTATGGCTGAACCAGGGTTAGGCTTCTTTCTAGAACTATCATCTTACCTTGCGCCAGTGGAGCCTGGAGCTACCCAGCCTAGTCCTACACGTGTTGGGACTGGGGTAGAAGCCTGGGCTAGTGTTCCTGGACAGTGCTGGCCACTAGGTCTATGCTCTAAGGATGACGGCAGTCTTAGCCCAAGGTCCTGGGGCTGCCGCAAGAGAATGAAGTCCTAAGTTGGTGTCTAGAGAAGTAGATATGCATGGGTGTGGCCAGACACGAGAAGTTTCTGTCATGTTGCATTTTAAAGAGGACACCTAGAGACAGTGTGAGGAACACAGGAACCTAGTGGTGCTCTGCCCACTGTCAACCATTCAGCCTCTCAGCACGTCTTTTTCCAGCTTCCTACCTAGTACAGAGCCTGTGCAGCAGAGGTAGGCCAGAGAGCCAGGCCTGCCCCGTCCCTAGGAGCCTCCTGAGGAAGGGGGGCAGCAACGTGGACAAGGAAACGTGCCATAAGGGAAGTTAGGAGAGAGGACAGACAGCCTCCAGGAAGAAGAGCCTGATTCATGGGGTCAAAGCCCCTTGAGACGAGGATAGGGTCACGCGGGAAGGAGAAGGTAGGGACGAGAATCTGGTAGACTTAGGGAGTTGCCTCCTGGGAGCTCAGATACGGACTGATCAGATGGGACTGGTAAGAAAATCCCCCTAGGAAAGTAGGGGTTCTAGGCCTCGCATTGAGAAAAACATTACCCTCAGCATCCCCCACAAGCCCTCAGCCTAGAGAAGGGGCATGCATCTTTAGTGCCTGGCCAGGATGACTTAGAAGGGGGAAGATAGTCACCCAGCCTCCCTGAGACCTGTCACCTGCCTCCCTGGGGCCTCGAGAAGTTGCTTTAGCAGATGCCATTGGCAATAGGGACACTTTGGCATAGAAAAGGTGGATCCTGAAAGGACCTTGGTAAAGCCTCGCTTAGACACCTGCTTCTGAGCGGTTTCCTCAAAGCACATCTTGTTTAGTCCGATGACAATATATGCCCTGGTCCCAGCCCATAGAAATTCACTCCTGGAAGGGTTCTCACGAAGGCCTGCGGGACGCTGACTTAGCATAGAGGAGTAGACCTTTGGAGGGTGGCAGAAGGATCTGTGAGGCTGAGATGTGGGTGTCACCACTGTGTCCGCAGCATTAGAGCCTGGGGCTGCAAATACAGGTGTGAGCTTTGGCTTTCAAGAACCTCTTTTTTTCTTCTTTTTTTAAAAAGATTTGTTTATTATGTATATAGTATTCTGCCTACATTAGTAGAGGGTACCAGATCTCATTACAAATGGTGGTGAACCACCATGTGGTTGCTGGGAATTGAACTCAGGATCTCTGGAAGAGCAGTCAGTGCTCTTAACCTCTGAGCCACCTCTCCAGCCCCTTTTAAGAACCTCTTGAAAAGTGATCCCAAGTTGGGTACTGTGGTTAGCTATCCCTTGCATTCTTGGGGGTCAACCTGGCAAGCAGGATTGGTACTCAAGCCTGCATAGTGTCTCACCCACCTGAATCCAGCAGAGGAAGGAAGGGTTCCACTTTCAGCCTAAGATCAGGGAGCAGCTGGTACGCTTGCTGCCCCATGACTGCCTCCCCGCTCCTCTCCATGAATGGGCAGCCAGGGCCCTCTGACACCTGTTAACCACCTCTGCAAAGAGTAGACAGAGGAACCTTCTTGAACATGAAATGAAGACAGAGCCTGCCTAACACTTCTTGACTAGCTTGTGATGCTCAGGGGGACTTCCTGGCTCAGGAGAGGTGGCCAGTGAGAGCCCTCACTTCATATCTGTGATTGCTGACTCTATCACTGATAGCATAAGAAACAGCCCCCCTACCCAAATGTCAGAGCATCCAAGGTAAAGCAGAGGAGGAGTGAGGACCCCACAAACAGCACCGTCAGCCTGAGCTTGGCCTCTAAGCACCCATCTCCCCATCGCTAGTCCTGCATAGTGCTGAAAGCACATCCTGTTGGTCAATCCCAGGATGAGCCACCAGAAGCTGGTGAGTCCCGTTGTCTGGTCCTGACAGCCACCTCCAGCCCCAGAGGAGAAGCATTACTAGCCTCTGGCCTGCCTGCGTCTACCACCCTGTCCGGAATTGCTCACTGGCCTCGACTCTTCTCATAAGAAGTCAAGTCTCACTTCTGCCTTTAACACAGTGGTCCATCATCTTGTAGATCACACCCAGCTGCCTCTTCTGGCCCAAGGGATGGGCCTGACGCAGAAGTCCTTTGGACCTCTGAGAAGGTTTGAATGAGAAGTCCCCCAGAGGTTGCCTGTGTGGCCTGGTCTGCCATCACAGCACAATGTGGAGGGCAGGCCCAGTCCTCGGGTCCTAGTCAAGGCTCTGTAGTTGCTCTGTGCCATGGGGGAGGAGCCTCCTGATGCCCTGAAAGAAATAACACTGGCCTATGCCAGGCAGCCAGCAAGGACCCTGGGTCATGCGATTTGATCTAGAGAATTGGCCAAACTCTGTCAGCGAGAGAGGATACAGAGACCTCAGAACCTCAATCGTCAATGACCCAACTAAAACCTCTGAAGCAAACAAGCCATGGCCTCAGTGGGCTTTGCAGAGTGTCAAGCAGAGGACCGTGGGACCCTCTAGAAGGATGGGGATGGCTAGTCCCAGACCGTTTGGAAACCAAGCCTGTCATAAGGAACAGTAGAGCTGACTTAGGACCTGAGAAATGAACTGTGTCCCCAGGTTTGCCCCGCTGTTGGTTCGGTTTCCCCTTCTGTCTTCTCATCACCAGTCTCCACCTTCCCAGGCCAAACCCAGCTTAGGGTGCCTAGGAGGACACCCGCTGTGTCTTCTCGGGCTGCCCCTTGCTGCTGCCCAAACCCCAAGGCTCTGTACAGGACCCAGAGAGTCTGCCTTGAACAGAAGGGAGCCTTAGCACCAGATTACGTGGAGGACAAAGGAGAGAAGGGAAGGGCAGTGGGGGCAAGGACCCCTGGAGAGGGGCTGAAGACAGCCAGGAGAACATGACCAGGGGGTTCAGATACTTTATTCCACAGCTGGGTTTTTTGAATGAATGAACAAGTGAGTGTCCAAACACCATGAACGAACAGGAGATAGGAATGAGCCTTTGTCATGTGACCCTGCTTGTCAGAGGTCATGTGAGGATGCAGTGCCCACTACTGTGATTGCGTTGCCAATACGCTTCCAGGGCAGCTGTGGGCAGCAGAAGTGGAAGCACCGCCATTGACCCGTGCTGGGGGGTGGGGGAAACCATGAGACAGATGGACGGACGGACAGCTGACTGTCAGTCTCTGTGAAAGTCAGGCCTTTCAGAACCAGAAGCCGTCTGGCTCCGGTGTACCAGTGGGGCTAATGGGAAGAAAGATCAGGAAGATCCCAGGGGGCCGGTGCCCAGACAGAACCCACCTCGCATTTCCTCCACAGTGCATCCCGTGTGGGAGACAAGCCATTGTTTCTGCTTCACTTTTTAATGCTTCCCTCAAATGCTCATGACACTGGGTGTGGGTCTCAGGCCCTCTGCTCAGGGGCAGAATTTGTCCTTCCTGCTGTAATCAGTCAGTCAAGGCATTTCCCAGGTGCCCAGGTTGTCTGGCTCAGTGCCTTGCTGGCATGCCTTGCCCTCTGGCCATGCCTGCCCTCCTTGGCCTAGCCCCAGCCTGTCACTCCCATCCTGCAGGCTTTCACAACCTGTCCTCTCTTGTCCCCTTTGCAGGCTGGTGGTTTGTGAGCACGTCTGAAGAGCAGGGTTGGGTCCCTGCCACCTACTTGGAGGCCCAGAATGGCACACGAGATGACTCAGACATCAACACCTCCAAGACTGGAGAAGGTGAGGGCCTGTGGGTTCTTAGGTGGGTAATAAAGCTGGGTGGAGAGGTTTCCCAGGGGCCAGCCCCTCCGGGGAGAACTCCCCAGCTCTTCTCCCTAAGCCACCTGAACTCCTACAATAGGCTGGATTTTACCCAAGGCCCTTCCGTTGGGATTCATTCGTTGACACCGACCCACATGGCCACCTCACACGCTGGCCGGTCTTTGTCATCCCCCATGTAGGACTCTGACAAGGAAATTTCTCCTGGGTTGTGGACTTCAGACTTTGTCAGCTTTGGGTAGAGAACAGGCTTAGGGGTAGGAACTACCAGAAAGTTCTTCCCACGAAGCTTTGAGTTTCTCTCGAGAACTCCACAGAGACCTGTCTCTACTCCCAGCTCTACACTAGGCCCCTGAGGCAAAGACTTGGAGCAGTCATGTGAACACGATTCCTGCTGTGCCTTGTCTTTCCCTCTGTGGACACTGACAGCTGCCCAGGCTGGCCTGTGAGCCACCTCTCAACGTCTGAGAGACTGGGGTGTTTCTCCATGCATTTCAGAGACTGCCTCTGCCCTCTAAGCCAGCAACAGCCCAATGAGTCTGAGCCTCCCATGTCCCAACTCCCTGCTCCTAATGCCTTCCAAATCTCCTGTGGCCTGGCAGCAGGAATCCTTTCCCTAACGGTCAGTCAGTAGGAATGGTCCAGCTGGCCGTGGGTCTGAAGGCCAGAGAGATGCCACCCACAGCTCAGGCCGGCCCCTCCGTCCCTTTCCTCCCTGCAGCCCAAGCCAAAATAAGCAGCTCATAAAGGGCCGAATCCTTATTCATCCTTCCCCAAGATGTTAGTTACTCTGTTGGTGGTTGGGGCCCCACCCTTCTTGAGTTGGTGCCTCATTTCAGCCCTGTGATTAGAGAAAAGACTCCGAACACATCCCTGTAACAGGACTCCAGAGCCCAGGCCCCTTGGGAAAAACTGAGGCATTCAGACTGAGCTGTTCCCACCCTGAGTCCTTGAGCCTGTATCTGACTCTGGTTCTTTTGGACCTCTGAACTGAGTTCCATCCAGACTAGCTGTAAGCCCCAGACCTTGCCCCTACCTAGTGCCCTGCTCTTCAAGGCCTGCTGGGCCTCTCAGGAACAGCAGATCTCTGGGCGTGGCAATCCCAATACTTGAGAGGTGGTGGCAGAGAGTCAAGAGTTCAAGACTAACCTGGGCTACAGTGAGACCCTTTTTTAAGAGCTCTCAAAAGGCCCAATGTCAGGCTAGGAGCAAACCATTATTCCCTCCCCTGAGCGATGACGTGTTATAGATGTCGTATTTCTGATTGCAAAGCTGTCCAGTCACATGGCTGTCCTCATCAGGTTTGGGTGCAGGCACTCTCACTACTGTGTTATGACAGCTGCTTGGGAGGGGGGAAGGCCACTCTGGGCTTGTCAAGGAGAGCGTTGGACAGAAAAGCTACAGCAGGAAGAACAGGGCAGAAGTATTGGGTAGCAGCGAAGGCTCCAGACAGAGCCAGACAGGGTAGAAAGGCGCTCAGCAGGCTTGGGCACTTAGCGGGGAATAAGTGGTAACAGACTGTTCAATGGCTGTGATAAATGCCATGACCAGTAGCAAGTTGAGGGGCAAAGTGAAGGTTTGTCTCACTTCCAGGTTATAGTCCATCCTCAAGGGTAAGCCAATGCAGGAGCTTGAAGCAGAAACTCAGAGGAACACTGCTTACTGGTGCAGTTTCTAGCTTCTGCTCTGTTAAGAAAGGTAGCTTTCTTAAGCTTTTTGTTGTTGTTGGGGGTGGGGGGAGGGTTCTAGATAGGGTTTCTCTGTAGCTTTGGAGCCTGTCCTGGAACTAGCTCTTGTAGACCAGGCCGGCCTCGAACTCACAGAGATCTACCTGCCTCTGCCTCCCGAGTGCTGGGATTAAAGACATGCGCCACCATCACCGAGCCTAGGGATGATACTGCCCACGGTGGGCTGAGCCCTCCTCCATCAGTCACCAGTCAGGAAAATGCCCACGATGACTGCAGTCCCGTCTGGCAGAAGCGATCCCCTAATTGAGATTGGCTCAGATGACTCTGAGTGGTGTAGAGCTGACAGATTGTGGAAAACATTGACCCTGATGGATTAGGAGTTAGAGGGCAGCCAAGGTAGCTTCCAGGCTCACAGGTGTGTGTGTTTGCATGTGTGCACCAAGGACACTGCTGCTCTGCGTGCTTCTGGGAGGACCTGTGTGCCAGCACCTGTGACCACATCTTAATAGTCTCCTGCCCAGGTCTACAGAGCCTTCACAGGGCCGTGGAAGAACCTGGAGTGTGTCCGGGCTGGAGCCCACACTCCTAGCCTGTTGCCTAGGCCTCTGTAAGAAGTAGGCTGCAGAGTTGGAGAAGTGCCTCAATGGTTAAGAGCACCTGGGTTCAATTCCCAGGACCAACAGGGTAGCTCACAACCATCTCAAACTCCAGTTTCAGGGAATCCAGTGCCCTCTTCTGCCATTGGTGGACATACATGCATGCACATAAAATAAAACTCTTAAAAAAAGAAAAGGAAGAGAGAGAAGGTTGCACGGGCCACTCTCCTCACAGGGCAAGCAGATATTCTTAGGAGGTTTCACAGAATTTTGGCCCAGGTGTGTGTGAACAATGTTACTTTTGTTCTTTCTACCCGCTCGTCACCCTCCCCGGAACTAGGCAGCCTGGTAGCTTCCTTTGGTGCAGGCAAGCTGGCACCCTGGGACCCTGGTCCAGGGCGGAGGGTGCAGGAGAGCTCAGTGCTCACCTGCGAGGGAATGGCAGGGAGAGGGGTGTAATCCAGGCGAAGGGATCTGGTCGCGAGCAGGGAGACACTGGGAGCTGTGGTCATTGTCATCAGAAACAGAAGGGCCTTGTCTGTAGCATCCACCCAGTGCGGGCTCAAGCAGCAAACCTTTCCCAGGCCCCGGGGACACACAGGTACAAGGCCAAGTCCTCACCCTCAACAGACCCCACCCAAGGGAAACAAACAAGGAAGCAAAGATATAAGTCAACTTGCATCAACAGAGACAGCTCTGACCCAGCAGGGAAGAGCTCCCCTCACCCCTATTTCCCCTGGCACCCTTCTTCCCTCACATAGTACCTGGCCATGGTGACAAGTTGACAGTCATGCTTGGTGACTGGATAGCAACACTGTCCAGAACTCAGGGAGCAATGATTCCTCCATTTCCGGGGGCTGTTGTTAGGGATCTTCCCATCTCTAAGGGAGCAGAACCCTAAATCCTTTAGTCTACACCTAGATTTGGGGGTAGTGGCTGAGGGACTTGGTTGAAAGTGTCTGTGTATGCTGACAGGACCACCCGTCAGCTCCTTCCTCATCCAGCGAGGGGGTGCCCCTTGGTTCAATCACCCGGCAGTGAGACACATCTCCCTCTCTCCTCCCCTCCGCCATCCTCTCTCATCCGCATCTCCATTCTCTCCACCGGTTTGGTTCGTGTGGGCCGTGGGCACCATCACCATCTCTCACACCAGTGTCCAAGAGACGTAAAGCCCACCTGCGGCGCCTGGATCGCCGGTGGACCCTGGGCGGGATGGTCAACAGGCAGCACAGCCGAGGTGACCACAGGCGCCTGCCTCTCCTCCCTGCAGCCGCTCCTCTCACTAACACCCCTCCTTTGCCTGCTCTGCTCTCTGCCTGTGGGCTCCTGACTCACCCGGAACTGGCCAGGCCTTTTTTCTCATTCACTTGCAGCTCAGACTGGGGACAGGGCCTTACTTGGGAATTGATCCCAGTGGCAGAAGGGGCGGCTCTGGCTTGCTAGTGCCCTGGGTATTGGGGTTTGGGGCCCGATGGTGAGTTTAGATGTTCCTTGAAAGGGAAGAGAGGCATGAGGGAGGCCCCCGGGTCTCAGAGGAAGGCCATCCCTGTCCTGGGTACCGCGTATTAAAGAGATTAGAGCTTTCTGTTCCTGTCAGGACTTCCTCTGCTGTCCTTTATTCCTACCTTCTGCTAAGAAAGACTCCCTCAGCCTATAGCCCTTCTCCATTTGAACCTAGAAGGGCACAGAAGCCAAAACCATCATAGCATCAGAGCATTCCCCAACCAACACTGACAAGGGGCCATCCCTCAGCAGGAGCACTGGCCTCCAGGATCTCAAGAGGAGGGAGCTCAGTCAAGGCGACAGGAAGGCCCTGAGCTGACTCCCTAGCTGACATCTGCTGATTCAGGGCTGTGTGGCCCAGACCCTTCCCAACATCCAGGAATTTGTGGGAAGGGTGAGGAACAGGAGGGATGTCCTCTGGATGCACCCCTAAACATCTGCAGCCCTTCTTGCTGGTGGGTGGTCAGCCTCTCCTGTCCCCCAGAGAGCAGAGCAGAGCAGCTGGGAGCTGAGATGCATATATAGTGAACACAGGCCTCTCTGGAAAACGGGGATACCCCATGACTCAACCTCAAAGCCCGTCCCCAAGTGACAGTGTATTGCAGTGTCTTTCCCAAGACGCAGGCTACAGAACGTAGCCTGGACTTCAGGCTACCCTGAAGATGGACTTCAGGGTGACCACTGCCAATGACTGACTCAGAGCGCTGGCCGTAAAGAACCCAGCTTATTCTGAGGCAGGGCTTACCGTGGACCCTGGGGGCTGATGCAGGCGGCCTGTGTTGGAGAAGCAGCAACAGGCCGCATTTAAAGCAGAAGCCACCTTAAAGCCAGGAGGGAGGGGACAGCTCTGCCAAGATGCTAGGGCGGAACACGGCCTCCAGCTCTAGCGGCAAAGACAAATAGGATGTGGGCCCAGAATCACACAAGAGAGACAAAGGTTTGGCCTGTTTGCGTACCATCACTTGCTGAGTCCCAAACATGCCTTTGCCTGCATGATCACACAGATGCACCGAGGCCAGAGACAGGCCCACATAAGGGCCCAAAGGCCATAGGTGTGGCTAGCTAGTACTGTCATAGCCGACCGCCACCCCAGCTGCGCATCCACAGTCTTGTATACACAGCCACTCATAGACAGTAATTCCAGGAGTGCCACCACACCTAGGCCCGGCTACATGTCGCTGGTTTACGTAGTCACAGGTGGATTTGGCATACACCTAAATGGCTCCCTGTCACCTCAGCATGTAACTGCAGCAATACCCACAACTAACACGTATTCATAAGGAATCACACTTCTGCAGTCACCTGTACACAAGCAAAGACAAGCCATAACTTCATGTTCATTATCACACACTTCCCAGCCCTAGTCCTGTGAATCAGGCGGCCAAGGAGGGCTTGCAGAGAGCTGGCTGGTGGGTCCCACACTGCAAGTAGTGGAGCTGGAGAAAAAGCCAGCAGTGGGTCACCGAGTAACTAGATCAGAAAAGTCAGTGTTTCCCAGAACCTCTATCCCCCGTCCCTCAGCTGGCCAGGCCTTCGGAATCAGAGGCCTCTCTAGTGGAGGAGTTGAAGGGGCCAGGAGGGGAGCAGAGAGACTGCTGACAGAGGGGAAAGTGCTTGGAAAGTGGAGGATTTTGCGGTTTGGAAACTACAGGGATTCCAGCCCCTGCCTCCCAAACTGGGGCAGACTGTCCACCTCCCCCAGCCTACCCACCCACCGGCTTCCTGGCCGGCCGTCATTCACCAGGGCAGGAGTGCCGTCATCTCTGCATGTTCTGATCATAGAACCCAGGAGCCCTGACCAGCCCCCAGCCACCTCAGTCTTCCTTCAACCCTATCTCTTAAAGGGGACTCTCTTCCAGAGACCACCTGCAGACTCACTACCTATAGAGACCATTTTCCATCTGTCTGAGTGTTCTCTTGTCTAGACATTGACCATGGGGGTCTATGGCCAGGTCCCAAAGAGGGGACCGGTCTCTGCTTATTGCAGCTCACCTGTAAGATGGATGGCCCAAGACCCAAGTCACCTACGTCAGCCGAAGGTGGCTTACATCTCTGTCTCCCTGGCTGAACAGAGCTGAAAACCACCTGTCCAAAGAGGCAGGCGGGGAGAGATGGTCAGGAACCAGGGTTTGAACTCCCCTCTGGAGTCCCGCACTGAACAGACAGAACAAACCTCTGTGCTGTTTAGAATTTTAACTGAGAGAGCATGACATCCCCCCAGTGTCCCCAAGCACAGGGTCTTTTGCGGATGCAGCTAGCTTCACTGGCCAGAAACAATTATCCGTGGCTGTGCCCCCTGCCCCAAGTGGCTAGCCATGGACTCCGCCCACCACACATACTTAAAAGGCTGCTGTGGCCAGCCTTGGCATCCGAGAGGCTGGACACATGGTCAAGGCCCTGTTCTCAGCCATGGGGCAGGGCAGGCTCCTCTGATCTTCCCCTAAGAAGGACTGTCATTTTTCTCTTCAAAAGCAACCTTGCCTAGGAAAACTTTCCTGATAGTTTCCTGCTTGAACCACAGGCTTTTAAAAATAGCCCGGCCAAACAAAGGCAAAATGTGGAGTCCAGGCCACGCCTCCCTGGACCTCAGGCCCTGCGTTTCCAGACCTGGCGCTGTCCCTTAGCCACTGCCTAGGCCAGGGTTTACCGTGCCCCACTGGAAAACGGAGCAGGGTTGGCCTCGAGCCTGTGGAACTTCTCCAGGGCCCTAGTCAGAATCTGGCTGGGCAGGTTCTCAGGCAGTGTTGGCAGCACTCCTGGGCAGAGCTCGGATGGAATCTGCAGGCCCTGAGCAGAGCCCTCCTCAGCTGGTGCCGAGAAAGGCCTGTGGTAAAAGGGAGCCCAAGGAAGAGCTGTGCAGCCGCCTGTGGCCATCACCCACCTTTTGCTTTTGGGCAGCCTTTCAAGTATGGCCTGTGATCTGTCAGCTCCAGCCTGCAACCTGGCAAGTCAGTTGCCTCTCCCAGAGGAAAACGCTGTCGGCCCCACACAGGGCTACAGACAGCACCCTGATAATCCAGGGGAGAATGAGCAGATGGCCCTCCCACAGCAAGACGTTGGTGTGGCAGCTCTCTCCTAATCCCCAGAGCCACCCAGGGGCTGAGGCAGGCTGCCCAGCAAGGTCCAGCGAAGGAGTCCAGGGAGTGGGTATCGCAGCTGGGAGCCAGGAGCAGCAGGCGGCTCCCAGGCCAGGCTCCTGCTATTTTGAGCTCCCAAGCAAGCCTCCCACTCAGTCCCTACTCATCCTCTCATTCCTCCTCACTGATAGAGTCCCAGCCTCTACTGTAATAGCCTCTAGTGTTGTGTGCTGGGTACCATGGCGACCTCCATAGCGCACAGCACAGCAGGATTCAGGGCGATCCTCCTAAGGGTCTTCTTCCAGTGAGGGAGGGTGCAGCATGTTCCTCCCTGGGCCCCACACCATCCTGTAGTCAGTCTTATAAGAGGCAGATGGCCTCAGCCAGTCAGTTACAGCTTCACCAGGAGGGCTCTCCTAAGATAGGCGTGGACCTCAGCAGACATGGACGTCTGAGCAGAGGTCCTTAGGGATGTCCAGGGAGGTGCCTGCTGCTCAGCCTTCCCACCGAGCTCTCTGCAGGATTCCAGTGCTGTGGGAAAACTTAGAGGTGACCCCGAAGGGGAAGATATACAAGGAAAAGAGTATGGGGTTCTCCTGGAGGGACCGGTGGGGGCCGGGGCACAGTCACGGGACCTTAACAAAACTCGTAGGCACTCCTGTTGAGCTTCCTTCCTGGACCATTCTAGAGTAGATGCTGTGGTCTGCTGTGTCTAGGGTAGGGCTGAGGTGCTCACGGAGGGCACCCTTGAAAAAATCTAAGTCAGACTGAGGGAGAAATTAAGAGGTTTACAGGGCTGGAATCTCGAGTTCAGGTGGGACGTGGCATGTTTTGAGGTGAGAGGTGCTAGGTTCCCCAGGTATCCAGGAGACATCTAGCAGTGGCCCCGAGCTATTGTCTTAGAGCCTAGGAGAAGCAGATTCCTCCAAACTCTGGGCCCCAATACCCTGGCTAGGAGACCTGCTTTCATGCTGCCTAAGGCTTTGCTAGACACCCCGGGATCCTGCCTGGCTTTAGCTCATCCTAGGACCAGCAGTGACCCCCTAACCCAGTGACTCTTCCTCTGCTCTCTGAGTCCTGCTCCTCCTTCTTCTCTGGAAAAGCCAGTGCTGGCCCATGAGCAAGACTAGGCTGGGGCGGAGGGAATGGGAGGGGAGGCAGGGATCTGCACCACAGCCTCAAATAACTGTGTTTTCTTGCTCCCCAACCCACTCACAGAAGAGAAGTATGTCACCGTGCAGCCCTACACTAGCCAAAGCAAGGACGAGATTGGCTTCGAGAAGGGTGTCACCGTGGAGGTGATTCGGAAGAACTTGGAAGGCTGGTGGTACATCAGGTAGGAGCCTGCCTCCCGGGCAACGGAGCTCAGTGCAAAGTGGCCAATGCCAGGATCCTAAAGACAGCTGTGTGCCGGCTCTGCTCGATCCGCTGATTGTCTCCTGGGACCTGAAAACACAAGCTGAGCCCCAGCCAGGAGGGCATAGGGGCCAGCTCAACCTACAGGTAGCGGTGCGGTCTCTCACCATGCACCTACCAAGAGTTCAGCCATCTGAATGTTGTTTTTTGCGGCTCCCTTGGCTGCCTGACAGGCTCCTCAGCTGAGACACCCTGAAGCACCAGCCTCCACAGGCCCTGCTAAGCCCCAGCAAGCTCCCTCTGTTGCTCACAGTTCAACACTCAAGGCCCCAGACATAGGCCTCTGGCATCCACGTTCCTGGTGGGTGCAGGCCATTGCACTCCGCCTTCTCCCCCTCCCTTGCCTCAGAGCCTAATGAGGTTCATTTGGGTGTATGTCTGGAGAATAAGCTAAACTCCGTGGGGCTCCTTCTGTCACCAACCCTAGACCTGCCTTAAGCATGTTTGTGTCTGGAAGGTTTCTTTGGAGCAGTTCAGCTGTGGGGAATTTGCTCAGCTTCTTTCTTTCTTCTGCTTGCAACCCAGCTAACAATCCCCCATGTAAGCTATGGGGACAGCTGCCTCAGTTCCCCACACCCCCAGACTTTCTGTGGTCCATCTGTGTGTGTATACTCAGCAGCACTGGCTCAGAACACAGCAGAGCTTGAGATCTTAAAGCTACATCCCTGATGCAGAGAGGACACAGGTAACAGTCTAGTGTGAGCTGAGGGGACAGTACTGCCCCCTCACCTTTGCCCTAAGTGCTTGTCAGTCTGAAGAACTGAGATTTACCTTCCCATCCTGTTAGGTGGCGTGGGACTGTGTGTTTCCACATGGCTTATCCAAAGCAGCCACCCGTGGTCCTTTTATGTTCTCTAAGCAATGGAAGCTGGAGCCAAGTGCAAATCCATCAGCCACAAGCTGGACATGGACAGGCTAACTAACTAGCCCATCTGGCTGGTGGCTGACGTGTGTTTGCCTATAAGTGATCCCCACAGCTCTGCTTTTTACATTTTGGGTTTTCTGTTTGTCTGTCTGTCTGTTTGTTGTTTTGTGTTTTTAAGATAACAAATAGCATCACTCTGGGCTACTTCCAGTCAGCTACTGTCCCTGTAGCTTGATTCTTCCTAGCCAGTTAGGACTTGAATTGAGAAGGACCCTAATGATCCCATTCTACCTTAAGAAGGTTGCCAGATACCCCCTTAAACATGATATTTCCCAACATTCCAAGCCGAGTGTTGATCCCTATTTCCTGTCTTTCTTTTCCTCCCCCAGCCTTACACACACACACACACACACACACACATTCCCATTCCCTCTGCAGCCTGCATCTCTGGAGTCAGTCCTGCTACAGAGTGGAAAACAGCTGTGCGGAAGTTGGGCCCAGACACACAGCCACCCCTGATGCCGCGCACGTGCATCGCTCAGCCTGCTGGATCCTGTAACACAAAGCCTGGAGCATAGCTTCATCCGTCCAGCGTGTGGAACACGAAGGGCTGTGAAATGGGACACTGCAGGCATGACTCTTACCTCCCCGCAACCCCTGTCCTTATTCCTCTGCTGCTGTCGCATAACAAGATACCAGCAAGATGTCTTCAGCTTCTTCCGAGCTTCAAAAACCCCAGGCTCTGGAAACTGTTACACACCTTCCCTCAGGCCCCTCCGCTACATCTGCCTTGCCCTTCTAAGCCTTGGCTATAGCCATAGAAAGGTCAGGCACATTCACTCACTGTTCCCCTCCATCCTGGACATTCTCTGCTTCTGTTTGTTCAGTAATGTCTGCCCTTGAAGCAACACATAAGTTGGGGGCAACCTGCATGTACCTCCCAGTGAAATGGATGTGAGGAGCCACCTCCTGTCTGAACTTCTGTGTTCCTTTTCTCCTACCTAACACAATCTGAAGATCAAGGTCACATCAGGGAGCGCAGTAGGGGGTTGTCAGACATCTGGCCTGTCAGTGCTCCTCTTGAGAGCCAGCTGTGTCCCAGGGAGCAGATGGGGACATTGCAACCCAGAGTTGGAAGCACTGACCAGTTAGTGTTGGGCCCGGAAGCAGGCTCCCTGTGGATTTGGGTAAAGGCTCAACACCATGTGGGGAAGAGGGAGAAGTTGTTTTTAAAAAGTCAACGAATCACCAAAAATTAAGTCAGCCCTGTCATTTGCCTTTAGCCTTTGTTTATGAGCTTTTGGTTTGGTTGGATTAGGTTTGGTTTCACCATAACAATGGTTTGAATTTTATCCAGCTTTATGCTTTCATCTGCATTTATGTTCTGTATTTGCAGCCTCAGTTAGGAAGGTTTCCCAACCCCCAAGATTACAGAAATTTGACTTTAAGAAAAAACACACACACAAAGTCTTGTATATAGTCCTGGTTGGCCTGGTACTCCCTGTCTAACCTAAACTGGTCTGGTCTAAGGCAGTCCTCCTGCCTCAGCCTCGGTGCCTGGCTCTTCTCTTCCTCCTTACCGTATGATAAGAACCCAGATCTCACTCCTTTGTTTCTCCTCATTGTCCTCAACTCACCCATTGCGTGGTTTGTGTTTGCCCACAGCGTTGAAAGGTTACATTTGTGGACTTCCTCTGTCCCTCCAGCAGGACTTGAACCCTCCTCCACCCGGTGGTGCTCATCACCCCCCCCACCCCACTTCTTGGTTTCTGTTGTTTGGTCACAAGGTCTCTTGTAGCCAAGCTGCCCTGTGTAACCTGAGATGGCCTTGAACTTCTGCCAAGCCCCCTCTGCCTCCAGAGTGCTGGGCTTACAGGTGTGTGCCTCCAAGCTTGTCCACAGAGTGCTAAGGCTTAAAGTCTTTCCTTTAGTGAGTCTTAGTCTCTAGCCCAGCCTGAACTAGAGCTTAAAAATAAAAATGGAATTGTCTTTCTCTTTTTAATCTTTGAGACTTTTGTACATGGAAACATGTATGTTGATGTATTTTGACCAGCTCCCCCTTTCTGCTCCCCGCAGGCACCCCCAGCACACCCCATTCCCCCCACATATCCTCTCTCTTCGTGTGTGTGTGTGTGTGTGTGTGTGTGTGTGTGTGTGTGTGTATGTGTGTATGCGTGTAATCCACTGGGTCCCATCAGTGCTGTCGTGTTGATCTGTCTCGGACAGGTAACTGTAGCTACTGTGACTTCATAGGTACGGTAGCCTTGTCGAGTCCAGAAAACAGCATTTCCCAGCATTCCTCCTCACCCTCCAGCTCAATATTTTTTCCACCCCTCTTCCGTGATGTCCCCTGAGAAGGAAGGTGGGAGGGGATGTACGGATATCCCATTGAGGGTAGAATATTCAGTAGTCAGTTATTCTTAGCATTAAAATGGTTGAAACTGGTTGTGAGTCTGCACTAACTGCTGACCACTGCAGAGAGAAACGCTTCTCCAGCCAAGGTTGAGGTGTGGCGCAGGCCTTAAATCCAATCCCCAAATGGTTACTTTCCCTGATTCATCCTAGAACCTCCGATCCTCCTGCCTCGTCCTTCTGACTGTTGGGCATGCGTCACCACCCCCAACAGTCGTCTTTATAGAGCGCCTTCTTTGATCTCAAGGTATCCATCCTTCTAGATCTGCTCGACAAGCTGCTGCATCCCTTTGTCTTACAGAAAAAGTTGAACTCTTAGAGAAACAAGTTAACTGGGCGAGAAGCATCCTTTGCGCTTGCCGCTTTCCTCTCTAGTCCGCTCCCTTCCTGTGGGAATGAAATTGTCCGTGCTCCATCCACTTTCACTTTTTCTCTCGGGAATTACCCTCAGCCTCTTGGGTCACAGTAGTAGGCCACTGTGAAGTCTACCTTTTGGGCAGAATGATGTTGAAGAACCCTAATTTTAACGGCCCATATTTGCCTGAGGGCAGTACCTCAGTGTCCAGTATCTTTCCCATGGACCCCAGCTCTGGTTTCCTCTGGATTAGCGGAACTGCGAAGCCTCTAGCAGATCATGGGAGAAAAGGCCCTGCTAGGAGGTCAAACCGAGACTAAGACCCGGGAGCAGAAGGGGAAGACAGATACAAGGGCTTTAATGATGGTGTGGTCCTTCCTCTCACAGATATCTAGGCAAAGAGGGCTGGGCGCCAGCATCCTATCTGAAGAAGGCCAAGGATGAGCTGCCAAGCCGGAAGAAGAACCTGGCGGGTCCTGTGGAGATTATCGGAAACATCATGGAGATCAGCAACCTTCTCAACAAGAAGGCGTCTGGGGACAAGGAAGTTCCGGCTGACGGCGAGGGACTGGAAGCCCCCATCACCAAGAAGGAGATCAGCCTGCCCATCCTTTGCAACGCCTCTAATGGCAGTGCCTTGGGCATCCCCGAGAGGACCACATCAAAGCTGGCCCAGGGCTCCCCAGCCGTGGCCAGAATCGCCCCTCAGAGGGCTCAGATCAGTAAGCAGCTGAAGGCCCCAGGTCCTCCCAAAAAGCTCCTACAGAGTGGGGGTCGGGGGAGCATGGGTGCAGCGGGGTCCAGGCGCTACCCGGGACCTCCGAGTCATTTTCACCCGGAGCTACAGTCTGGCCTCTGATTGTCAGCGGCCCTGTGCTGGTCACAGGAGTGGAAAGGGCCGTGTGTGTGTGTGTGTGTGTGTGTGTGTGTGTGTGTGTGTGTGTGTGTGACTGGCTGTGTTCCTGCAAGCTGCTGCAGGTGCATGGCAGGAGAAAACAGGCTGCTGCCTCCCTCTGCCTAGGGATGAATCAGGGGTGGCTCTTTAGTAGTGGAACAGACCCCAAGGCTTTAGAGAGCTAGATGATCGGTATAGAGCCGATTTAAGAAGCCCACGGCCCCTGAGTTTGTGGTCCTCTGTGTGGGTCTGCTTTGTGGGGCAAAAGATGTGGAAGAGGGCTGGCACGATGGCTCAGATCCCTGGGCAGGCATGGGGAGAAGGAGAGAACTGACTCCCTAAGGCTGTGGCACACATGCCCATCCCCTGGTGCATTCACAATAAATTACTAAAGCCTGTCTGTCCTCACCCGCTACCTCACCTTCACCTCTGGTCCAGAAACGCCTTTGGTGTTATGGGGGTTGGGGGTGACACAATTTCTGTTTGCGTCCAGCCCAGTAATCTGGAGGAAAGCTGGTTTGAGTTTGGGTTATATTGTTTTGTTTTGTTTCTTTGTTTAATACATAGCTTTTGATTATCAGCACTCTGGTATACTAGGCAGGACTTTGGTCTGGCCTTGTGCTTTCTTCAGGGGACTTAGGACTAGTGAACAAAACATAGATGTAATTCCTACTTATACTGAAAAAAATCTCATAAATCCATGCAGCCTTTTACCTTGAAAACTGCCTGCCTGCGGCATCTGTAGATTGGTGTACCTATCATTTGGGGGGTGGGGGGGTGGGTCTTTCTGAAGAACAGGCAAAGAAGCCCAAAGGTCCCTTCATTCCTACAGTGACTTAGAATACAGGGTCTTTAATAACTGACGTTTCAAGGATCCAGAGCGGATCCCATCAGGGAAGGCAGCAGGTGTAGGCACTGTTGTCCATTGGGGTTCTTACAGCTGTGGCTTTTCTTCCAGGCTCCCCAAACCTGAGGACAAGGCCGCCCCCGCGCAGAGAGTCCAGCCTGGTATGTGGACTGTCTCTTCATGCCTTCTCTGGGGTGACCTGCACCCTTACTTAGTTGATACCTTTTGAAGCAGAGCCTGTCACCCAGGGGCCTGGGGGACCCTGTTGGGTTTCTGTCATTGCAGGGCTGGGGACAGGGGCAGAAGCCTGCAGATCCCAAGCCTCCCTGGAGCATAGCCAGACAGTTTATAATCGGAAATGCACTGCACTCCAAAGCTAAATAAATCCATCCCAGCCACTGCACTGGCAGACATAAACATTTAGACTGGCCAGCAGGAGTGTCCAGTAGGGCATTGCCAGGGGCTGGAAATGGGACTGCTGGCCTTACAGCTCTCTCAGGACTGCCCAGTGAAGGTAGTGGGCTCGACAGCCTAGAGGGCAAGGGGTGGACCAGTGCTCTCCTCCAGGAAGGAGCATGAACTGCGAGACCTGGCTCATGGAAGATTGACACTGTGAGGTCCCTGGCTCTTGAGTGGGTGGAGTTTCCCGGTGACTGCCGTCTGAGGCAGGGAGATGTGCAAGCGGGAGCTTGGGAAGCAGTAACATTGGTGACAGGTTGAGAGTCCTAAACAAAGGCCTGTTATGGGGTGAGGAAGAGGGGCAGGGGGCAGCTGGATGCAGTTGGAAGCAAGTTGTGGGTCTAGGGTGTAGCTCGATAGCAGTGTTTGCTTAGCATGCACGAGACTTTGGAGGGACCGTCTCTAGCGTACCTGGAAGGGGAAATTGGAGCCTGGCATAGATTCCATTTCTGACACAGGAACAAAGACTCTCTGCAGATCACCTACCCTCTGAAGTCCTCAGTTTGCTTTTCCTAGAGAGAAGAACAGTACTGGCCACCTCCTAGGTCTGTCACGAGGACGGGATGCAATGGTGGATTTTAGGACTGGCAGCCAGGTTTCCCTTTCCTGTGTGGTTGTTGGGTGGCACTATCTGGTTACTCTACATGGGACAGATCCCTAAATCACAACAGGCTGCATGTTACTCCAGTGGCATCTGCCTATCCGTGGGCATTGGAGGCCCTTCCTACATGTGAGGATGTGCCCTCTGGCCATGAGTATTTTGTGACCTAGCCATGAGTCCCTCTGAAATTTCTCTTTTTTTTTTTTTTTAATCCTGGGTTTTTTGCAACTGCACAATGGAGTCTCCATTTCTCCCTTTTATTTGAGCCCCAGCTAATTATTTTCAGGCAGCCTTGACTTTGGCAAGGACAGACTCATTCCTTCAACACGTACAAATGCAAGCTTGCTGAGGGAGGGATGCTGGTGCCAGTTAGCTGAGCTGAATCCCACCTTATCCGGGTCCAGGAGGGCTGAGGCACGGCTAACCGAGCCAGCTTCCATGTGTGGCTGTACATCCAGGCACAGGGGCAGAGAAAGTTGGCTGATTCTCTTCCCCCATAAACCATCTTTCTCCCATCCCTCCCTCCGAGTGACAGCTCAGCTTAGACCAGACGACAGAGGTAGCTGAGCCTTGAAGGGTAAAGAAAGAAACAGGGTTCCAGAGGTGCTGACCTCCAGCTTTGTTTAGCTATTCCTGCACCCCACCTCCCTGGACCGAAGTTACTGCATTATCTCAGTAATCTTCAGAATCCCATTCTTAGTTCTGTTTTTACAGAAGAGGAAACTGAGGCTCGGAGTAGTTGCATCTTCTGGGTCTGCCTTCTGCACCACGGCTGCCCTCCCCCCCCCAGCCTCTTCAGCTGCTTTCTGTTTACCCTTTAGTATAAGGAAGAACAAAAATAAGAAGACAAAGCCGGACAGAGTACATCCTTTTGTGGTTAGCGTCTGCCAAGCTGGCTTTCCATGCGGCTTATGCTGGCTGCCTAAGAGCAGCACCCATTAGGTGCACAGAAAATGATGGTTAAGGAAAAAAGAAAAAAAGAATGTGGGCCAAGTGTTCTAAGTGTCCTTAAATGCCACTATGAGAAAAGTTGTGTGCCAGCATCGAAAAGGCATATAGGAGTTCTGGGATAATCTGCCTGCCTACTGAGACAGGCTACCCCCCCCCCCCCCCCGAAAGCTCCTCCCCCAACCAGCTGTCCCCTGTACTACTTCACTATCCTGGGGATGGTTGGCTCCCTCACACTCTTCTCCATCAACGGCCCTCTTGGCTTAGGAGCCACCCTTAGACATATAAAATGATGGTTTCCCTGCTTTTCTAGAGTGATTCTTCTGCTCTTCCTCTCCACCTTGGGGCCCAACTATTGAGGCCTAATAGTGAGCATCCCAAGAGATCAAACACCTCCTGGGGGAGGGGGGTCCTGAAGCCTAAGTGACAGCTGCCTTCAAAGCCAGCTGCTCTCCAGCTGACAGTGCTGGCCACAAGCACCTGGAGCCATGGGCACCAGCCCTGACCCTGGTACTCACTGCTCTGGTTAACTCACTGCATTTGCTCACCAATTGTTCTACTTTAGGGGTTCCAGCTGCCAAAGCCACCAGAGCCCCCTTCTGTTGAGGTAGAATACTACACCATTGCTGAATTCCAGTCTTGCATTTCTGACGGGATCAGCTTTCGCGGTGGACAGAAAGCTGAGGTGAGCCTCCTTTTGACCAAGGGACCTGTTTTACATTTTATAGTATGTCTTATTGGCAAGGTTTCTGAGGGTCAGGCAGGACAGATACAGAAATGAGCCTCCTGGCCATGAGTACTTGCCTAGTCAGGGCCACAACCAAGGCTAGAACCCCTCACTTGCTTATAGAGCTTGCCCCACAATGGCACATCCTTAAACATGCGCAGGGCTGATCACGAAGAGCCTCGAGATGAAGTGCTGCTGAAGGCGTGTGAGCTTCAGGGACAGACAGTTTGCTTCATTGGGAATGTTTTATTTGGGGGGATGGACGCACATATGCACGCACGCCACACATGCACTTGGAGATCAGAGGACAATATTGTATACCAACCCATGAGCTCCTAATGAGATTTTGTTGATTTTTATATGGATACTGAGAGGATACTCTGCAGGGAGGATCTGGTCTCGGGCCTATACCTCCCAGTTTGATTCATGCCTGTCCCCAAGAGGCCCTTTCAAGGGATATTGGGTGTGGGTGGAGGATGGGAACAATGGAACACTAATTCTTTATACATATGGGTTCTTCTCAGGTTGGTTTTTATAGGTCTAGGAACAATGTAGTAGATTAGGGGGTGTCATGGAGGTCTATAGCTCCAGAAGTTACTGGCACAGACTTAGGGAGCCTCACAACCAGGACCAGGGTTTGAATCTAGCCTGCCATTGACTGCCATAGGTCGTGAGCCACATATTCAAGGACTGTGTCTATAAAATAGGCTGAGAGGGACATTGTAGGGACGCAGAGACCCCTGCAACTCACCGGCCTGTCTCTCTTCCCTCAGGTCATCGATAAAAACTCAGGTGGCTGGTGGTACGTGCAAATTGGGGAGAAGGAGGGCTGGGCCCCCGCCTCATACATTGATAAACGCAAGAAGCCTAACCTGAGCCGCCGAACCAGTACTCTGACCCGGCCCAAGGTGCCCCCACCCGCACCCCCAAGCAAACCTAAGGAGACCGAGGAGAATCCTGTGGGTGCCTGTGAGAGCCAGGACTCCCCACTGAAGCTTAAGTATGAGGAACCTGAGTATGACATCCCGGCCTTTGGTTCTGACTCGGAGCCCGAGCTGAGTGAAGAGCCCACAGGGGACAGGCGTCCTGCCCAGCCCCGAAGGCCCTCGCCTGCCTCCTCCCTGCAGCGGGCCCGCTTCAAGGTGGGCGAGTCTTCTGAGGATGTGGCCCTAGAAGAAGAGACGATCTATGAGAATGAGGGCTTCAGGCCCTACACAGAAGACACCCTGTCTGCCAGAGGCTCCTCTGGGGACAGTGACTCCCCCGGAAGCTCCTCACTGTCTCTTGCCATGAAAAATTCCCCCAAATCAGGTTCTCCCAAATCATCATCACTCCTAAAGCTCAAGGCAGAGAAGAATGCCCAGGCAGAACTGGGTAAAAACCAGTCCAACGTCTCCTTCTCCTCCTCCATCACCATCAACACCACCTGCTCCTCTTCTTCTTCCTCCTCTTCCTCGTTGTCCAAGAACAGTGGTGACACGAAGCCACGCTCTGCCTCAGATGCAGGCATCCGTGGCACCCCCAAGGTCGGGACCAAGAAAGATGCTGATGTGAAGGTCGGGCTGGCCTCCTGTGCCCGAGCCAAGCCATCGGTCCGACCAAAGCCAGTCCTGAACCGAGCCGAGTCTCAAAGCCAGGAAAAGATGGACATTCGCTCCTTACGGCGCCAGCTGAGGCCCACAGGCCAGCTCCGGGGAGGCCTCAAGGGCTCTAGGAGTGAGGACTCAGAGCTGCCCCCCGAGTCAGCCTCCGAGTCCAGGAGAAGCTCTGCTGATGTGATTCCGCTCCCAGCCACCACTCCCCCATGTGTTCCCAAGAAGGAATGGGAAGGACAAGGTACTGCCTACGTGACCTGCAGTGCCTATCAGAAGGTCCAGGACTCCGAGATCAGCTTCCCGGCAGGCGCTGAGGTGCACGTGTTAGAAAAGGCAGAGAGCGGATGGTGGTATGTAAGGTTTGGGGAGCTAGAGGGCTGGGCTCCTTCCCACTATTTGGTGCTGGAGGAGAACCAGCAATCTGACGTCGCTGGCAAAGAGCCTGACACAGTCAAGAGCACTCAGAGCGAGGGCAAGTCGGACAGTCTGGAAAAGATCGAGAAGCGGGTGCAAGCGCTGAACACTGTGAACCAGAGCAAGAGGGTCACCCCACCCATCCCCTCTAAGCCTCCCGGTGGGTTCGGCAAGACCTCGGGCACTGTAGCGGTGAAGATGCGGAACGGTGTGCGGCAGGTGGCAGTCAGGCCCCAGTCTGTGTTTGTGTCTCCACCACCCAAGGACAACAACCTGTCCTGTGCCCTGCGGAGGAACGAGTCGCTAACGGCCACTGACAGCCTCAGAGGTGTCCGCAGGAACTCCTCCTTTAGTACTGCACGGTCAGCAACTGCTGAGGCCAAGGGCCGCTTGGCAGAGCGGGCTGCCAGCCAGGGCTCAGAATCACCCCTCCTGCCTACCCAACGTAACGGCATCCCCGTCTCCCCTGTGCATCCTAAGCCTATTGAGAAGTCTCAGTTCATCCACAATAACCTCAAAGATGTGTACATCTCTATTGCAGACTATGAGGGGGATGAGGAGACAGCTGGCTTCCAAGAGGGGGTATCCATGGAGGTGCTGGAGAGGAACCCCAATGGTTGGTGGTACTGCCAGATCCTGGATGAGGTGAAGCCCTTCAAGGGCTGGGTGCCCTCCAACTACCTTGAGAAGAAGAACTAGCAGCACCGGGTCCTTGCAGACTCCGTGCTGCTCTGGCTGCCACTGGAAAAGTGGTGGCCTGCAGACAAGGGAAGGACAATGGGAGGGGGGAGGGGATGACGACATTGAACCCTGCAGAATAATGTGACCCCCCCCAAGACACTCTCCAGCTGGAAGGGAGGGTGTGACGGGTACACACACTTAGTAGGAGAAAGGGAATAGCAGGGTCGTCCTGGGCCCGGAACCCCTGCACACACACTGGTGACTTTGCTGATGGACCGTATGCCATTTAGGACAGGCCGAATGGGAAAGCCCAATCGTGCCTTTGCTGCAGATCTGGAAAAGATGTCATGAGGTGTGTCCAGGGGTCTGCCCCTGCTCAGCCACCTCAGTGGCTGGCTTCTCGCCTCTGGAAGCCACCCTTGTGATATCATAGATGTGTTTAGCATTGTGTTGGTTTCTAGTCCACCAGCCGCTGGTGGGTGTCTGGAAGACCACCAGCTCTGGGGCTTAGCGGTGTCTCCTCAGAGCTCAGTCCTTTCTGGGGCCAGGCCACAGCCTGTTTGGTAGTTACGAGTTCCCAGATGCCAACAAGGACTGCCTGCCTTTGTTGGCTGACCTGGCCTTGCAAAGAGAGCCTGCCCTCCTTGGGGCACTTGGAGGACACTGTGGGAGTTGACCTAGAGAATGGGTTTTGCCAGGCTCCTCATAACCTAGAATTGCTTGAGGATTTCCGGGTAGGCGATTCCTTGTGCATGTTTGGGAAGGGGTTATTGGTTTGGAGGTTATAAATCAGCGTTTGGTTTGGGGTTTATTTTAGAAGTTGTTTTGGGGCCCAAAGGGCTCAGCATCACATAGGAGAAGGGAGTAGGGGTGGGTGGAGTTTTCTGTTGAATTCCATGGAGGGATGTTTAATTTAGATTTTGGTTTAACGTTTTTGTCTTTCCATATGCCAAGTTGTTTGTTTAGGTTTCCACTGTGTGCACAGTGCCCTAGCATGGCACCTCACCAGGGAATTTGAGACTGGGTAAAGCCAGGTCCTGGGCTCGGTGAAACAGTGTTCAGGTTGCTGCCCAAGAAGGAAGGGGGCATCATTAGAAACCAGGCTGCTGGGTGACTACTCTGCCTGCTTCTGCACACTTTCCCCAACCTGGGAAGGGCCCACAAAAAGCCTTACTGTGGAGAAGTCACCACCAACCCTGGGCAGAAAGGACCCTGGCTGGGTCAGCCTGGAGCAGACACCCCTCACCCCCGCCATCGTGCCCCTTTGCCTGCTGGCAATGCTACAGGTGCCCAAGAAGATGGAAGACTTTAAAGCCAGGAACCAACCCTGTCTTCCCAAGGGGCAGTGCCCCAGGGAACAGAGAAGCAAAAGAATGGAGTTTGCTGCGGTCCTCTGTCAGCTTTGGGTTGTGATTTAACGATTGACATTTCAGGGGGGACCCTCCAGAGAGAAGCCCAGTGGGCTTCTTCCAAGAACTCCCCTCATGCTGGGAGCGGATTCCACATGTGCCTTTGATTTGGGACAGATCCTGCCTCACAGATTCTGGCTGAGCTGCCAGCATCTTCCTGACCAAGGGCTGCTGGTTCCGACAGACATGGGAGGAAGAATGCCCCACACCCCTCCTCCCTGGCAGGTCTGCCTTCAGCTCCCAACCCTAACCTCCTGGATTCCCAAGTCCATGTCCCTCCCATATGCGGATGCAAACCGCTAGCCTCCTTTGTCAGAAGCCCATGGTGACATTGTTCTATTTCCTTTTCTGTGTTCATGAGTTTGTTTAAAATTGAAATTAGTTATTTTCTTCTGCTGGACAGTATTAAATAGAGCGGGATGATGAGTTAATCTGCTAGGTTGCAGTACTAATGGTAGTGGTTAGTGTCTTCATGATATATTGTTTGTACTTTTTGAACAATAATGATAAAGAAGTGGTTCATTATTTCTTAATTAATGCACTTTAAATGAGGTAGAATGGAAAGAAAACCCGGAGAGCAAAGTGCATTACTTAAAGATGCAGTATATACTCTTCTCATTTTAAAACAGCACATATTTATTAAAAGAAGAAAAAGTAATTTATGACTATTTAAAATAAAATTTTAAAGTAAAGTGACTGTCAGGTGAAAGGACCTTCCACACAGCTGTCTGCAGGGGGATGGCCCACAGCCTCGCTCCTCGGATGTCTGCATTGAGCCAGCTCCATGGTTAGTGCACCAGCCAGGCACAGAGCATCTCAGTTGGGCTGGACCACCGAGATCCCCAGAGCCTGCCTTTCCCACCCTCCCTGCCCGACTCTGCACTTGCATCCTTCTTCTGCACCCCAGAGACCCTCTCCCAAATCCCAGTGTTCTGAAATCATAGACTCTTTCAAAGCAGGACTGGAAGGGACCTTAGAGGTCAGTCCATCCCACTCCTTCTTGTTTCTCCAGCTCGAGGACAGGAAATGACTTTCCCCAAATCACCCAATTAATGTCAGGTTTTTCCCGCTGCATTTAATCCCGCGTTCCTCTCCTGTCCTTTTAGCTCATTGTGTGGTCATTGTGTTTACATTGTAACATCCAGCCCCAGGGATGGCTGGGAGTTGCTCAGGCATCTGGGAAAAGTAGGGAATGTTGCCACCTAGTGTCAGTACGTAGTCTTGGTCAACAAATAGTGATAGCCAAGGTCCCTCACCACCAACCCATTAGGGCACAGCACAAACCCTGCAAGCCCAAAGAATACTTGAAACAAGAAGGGTGCATGCCAGGCCTTCTCAGACATGGCCAGGGGATGCCAGGCCTTGTGTCCCTGGATCCTAGCCCTGCCCAGACAAGAAGGCCTTTCCCTAGCGCTAACGAGCTGCTTTGTGACATCAGACGGACCGTGGCAGCAGTGGAGGAGGGAAGGGCCTGGGGCTCTGTCCCATTAGGAGCAAAACCAGATGGGACGAAAGGCAAAAAAGAAAAAAGAAAAAAAAAGATTAAAAAAAAAGTGGAATCTCAGCAATGTCCAAAGCTAGTTTTCCATTAGTTAGAACTGAAAATGTGAGATGACATCAGATCGCTGTATACTGCAACTTTAATCTTAATGAGCCCTTCTGAGGTCATTATTGAGGTTTATATAATGCCCGAAGATGCGTCGTCTGGTGCTTTGTTTTCCTTTCAGTCTAAAGACCCTTTTCTATGACGAGGGTGGAGGAAAAGCCTTCTAACCTTACCCTTCTTTGTCACTAGTTGGCCTGGCTACACTGCCTGGCTCCTCTGTGTTCTCACAGGGGAGCAACAAGAGAGAGCAGGGGGAAGGGGTTCCATCAGCAATCGGTTCCTGTCTACCCTGGGGCCCCCTTCACAGCCCGGGTTCTCTTTGCAAGGCCTCAACCCTTCCACCCCCAGCCTGGTCCCAAGGGTCCCTCTTTCTCACTCCTAAATGGACGAAGGCATTATATAGAATCATTGTAGTCACTTTGAGATGTTAGAGCTGCGTATTTTACTGGCATTTATACCCATTGCTTTCCTCAACGAGGCATGTTACTACTTTTATCGTCTAAGAGAAAAAGAGAAGGGAATCTCAGCCAAACATTGTTTTCATATGACTAGTGCTTGCAGAGTAGGCGTAGCGCTGTTTAAGTTGCAGTGTCTGTTTTTAGGAGGGGGAGCAGGTGAAGTCACCCCTGCTTTCCCTGTGTTTGACTAATATATAATTTCTTTAAGGTTACTCACTTCCCCTATTCCCTCCAAATACTTTGCATTCTCAATGGAAAATGAAAACAATCTGAGACAGAAAAAAGTGCAATATTATCAAGAGGGATATGGGACAGAGTGGGGGGGGAGACCCTGTTGCATCTGCGGAAAATGGGACAGTCTATTGGGAAGAGTCGTTACTGTGGAGCACATGGGCGGACCGTGGATTTGATTGGCAGGCCAACTGTCTATCTCCTCCCCACGTCCCTGGCATGAAGAGAGGGGTAGCCACCAGAGGACACTAGAAGAAAGGGATCTGGGGAAGTGGCATGGTGCTCTTGACCTCTTGAGCCCAGTCCCCAGAGCAGAGTGAGGATAGCCAAGACCCCACTCCTGTTTCCATTCCCCGTTTGCAGCCAGCTGCTCAGAGAGACCCATCCTAGAAGCGATTCCCAGCAGCCCTCTCACCCCAGCCTCCTGATATGTGGGCTACGATTCTTTGGATGTGTGTTTGAGTCTTTCTAAAATTATGACCTCAGTTCAGCTTATGGACAGGAGCCCTGGCTGTAAGCAAACTCATTTGGAGGATGGGTGCTTTAAGCCCTTCATACCCAGTAAGACCCAATTCCTTCAGGCCTGCAGTAGGCCTGGTCCCGGCCACCCATTCATCTCAGTGACTTGGGCAAAAGGCATGAGCCCTGCCTCTGACAACAGAAACCCCCATGACAGGTACACACCAGCCCCCCCTTTCCCATGCAGTGAGGAAAATGGCAGGGTGTTTTCTGGGGGGTGAGGAACAAGTCCCAGGACTCAGCCCCCTCCCCCAGGATAGCAAGCACAGCCTTGCTGGTGTGTCCTTTCTATGTAGTACTGTAGGCCTGCTGCTCCGACCCACCTTTGTGTGAATTTCTCCACAGACAGGGAGAGGGACCAGGCCCCTTCTGGGGTTCTCCCTTGGAATAGATACGGTTGCACAGCTGATCATGAGACTGTGCAGCTCTCTGGAAAGACAGCAGTTCACATCACTAACCAATTAAAATTCCCTCACTTTTTTGAGGGCTGAGAGAGCAATGTTTGTGTGCATGTGTGTGTATGTGTGTGTGCCGGTGGTGGTAATTTCCACATGCATGGATATTACATGAGTGCATGTGTGTGTGTGTGTGTGTGTGTGTGTGTGAGAGAGAGAGAGAGAGAGAGAGAGAGAGAGAGAGAGAGAGAGAGAGAGAGACTGGTGGTAATTTCCCACTTGAACTAAATAGCATGGGGTTAGAGAAAATAAATGCAGGGCAGGTGGTCTCCATTGAACTAGTCCTTGGCATTGGGCAGGTCCCAAGGGACTCACAGCTTCTGGCAGCAAGTATGTGTGTCATTCACACGATTCTGGCTGGAGAGTGCAATGTATCTTTTAAATTTGTTTTTTGTAATTATTTTATTATTTAGTTGGAAACTTCACACTGGCATTAGCAGATCTAACAGAAGCAGCCCTGGTCAGCATCCGGGCACCAAGATGAGCATGTGGAATAGATAGAGTGTGGGGTGCTGAGGTGGTTACATTAGTGCACCCATGTACTTGGGATGAGATTCTCCAGGGGATCCAAGGGCTGCTGGCCTTGGCCTGGTTCTGAAGGAGAGGCGGGCCGGGCCGGGCAAGAACTACTCATGGTATGACTGTAGGACCCGTAGGTGTCCACACAGCAGCGCCCACCAGCCCCTCTGCAGGCCCAGAGTGCTTCCTGGGGGTGTGTAGGGCTCCTCGGGACCTTTGGAGTTTGTCTAAATCCCACCTGGGACAGTCTCATGGCCTTGTGTTTCGTAAACTCTATGATCAGAGCCAGTCATAGGACACGGTTAGTGACCTTTGGCCTTAGCACTGCCTTTAACTACTGCTTTGTTCTGTGCATCTGGGCCCCCAGGCCACAAAGTGGGCACACTGGTGCTTGTAGATTGACTAGAAGGGTTTCTTTTCCAGAAACCTTGACCCCCTACCTGGCTGTAAGGGACTAGCATGTGACACCCCCTCTTCCCCTAGCCTGTCTAAATCTCAAGTGACCTTGACAGTCAGTACCCCTCCACCATTGCAGTCTAGGACTTAGTGGCCGTAGAGTAGGGTCCCCAACGCTGAAGGTCCCTACCTCACTCCAGGTCTCATGCTGGACAATGGGCTGTGTCTTTGGAAGCCTGAGAGGATTGTGTTAGTGTTAAAGGATGGACCTAGCATGTTGGCAAGCTAGTAGGAGGCATGTTGGCAAATGAGTAGCCATGTTTGAGGTGACTGGAGCTTACCGTCCCTGCGCTGGGAGGAGGCTCCAGAAGATGTCTTTTAGGCAGAGAAGGTGTGGGAAGGCTGAACAAGGGTTTGAGGTTGTGTTGTCTTTATTTATTGAAGAAGGAAGGAGTCAGTTCTTCATGTTTGGAAACGAAGAGATCAGGTTTACAGGGATTTTTGTCACTCGGCAGCCAAAAGTCCAGCCAGAGAAAACTCACTCACCGGGCCACAGCCGGGCTTCCATTTTCATTGATTGTCTTAAGGGAGAGGCACTGTGAGCCGTAAGCCAATGTTTGGGTTTGGAGGCCCTTTTCCAGAAGACAGATCCATCTCCCAGATTCCCAGTAGTTTTTGCCCAATGTATTTTGTCCAATTCAGAGTTGGCCAGCCTGTCAGACTGTACAAATCAGAGGCCATTGACCATAATAGCTACATAGTAGGGACCCAACATCCCCATACTAGAACTTAAGAGCCCAGGCCTATCCAAGAAGCAAGTGACCTCATTTCTTGGTGACACAGGACATTATTTCCAAGGCTCTAACAGAACCTATGGCTCTAACTGCGGAGTTGGCCTCCTGCTGCCAATCGGACCAGAGGAGCACACCACATCCCCGCATATGCTTGTTTTCTAGTGGCTTCTACTGAGGTACACTAAGTTTACTTCAAAGGGTATATATAGTTACCATTCTTAAATTCACAACTTGTCCCCTCCAACGGAGGACATGGGTGTCCCTCCCAGTTACTGAGAGGTCTGGAAGGCAGATGTTCGTGGCCCCTCTTGCAGCATAGATATGTGAACTGTACAGTGGGGGAAGCAGATAATGTCACTGGGACGCCCGAATCATAGGGACTTCTCCTAGTGTCCACTCATGCCCAGCCAGCTTAGTGGGGTCCGCAGGAGCCCTTCCTCCCCACCTCAGCAGAGAAACTGAGACAGGGACATTGAATGGCGTCGGCGTCGGTGTGTGTGCTGACACATCTCCAGGACCCTCGGTGGTGCTAATCTATCTCCATGTTTCTCACAGTTCTAACAGTGGGTTGTTTGTATAGCCTCATCGCAAACACGCAGTGTCCTTGGGGGAGGGACGCAGCCCCCCTGACCTGCCACTTTCCGGGTGTCCTTTACCGCTTCGAAGGAATTCTTTGGTCTGTAGGGATGACCTGTCTTGGGATGCTTCTAGACTTTAAAAATCTGGGTTGTTTTGTTTAATATTTTGTGTATGTTTACATGCATCTTGTATTTCCCTGAAAACTAAATAAAGTTTTTGGCCTTTTTAACTGAACAGAATCATGATTCTCTCTGGCTTCAGAGGGCCCATTCAGTTGACTAGCCAAAGGCCCACGAGCCCAAACAGCAGCTGACTCCAGAAACTACCGACTCAAGGGGACGGGGTAAGGGAGGGGAGATCAGCTCCCACAAGCTCCTCCAGCCCCCTCCCACCTGCAAGTACCTTTCTGGGAGTAGCCAAAGGGGACCCCTGGTCCTTACCTAGTTGTGTTGGTCTCTAGTAAGCAGGAAAGAAATGGACCTGAGGTCAGTTCAAAGGCAGGCTACTAGGTGGCGAGAGCACCCTCCAGGGAAAGGATGTAGGCAGGCATCCCACAAGTCTCTGGGGTCTGTCACTGCTAATGTGTTCTAACACTGTCTAGCCCCCAACCCATACCTCTTCCCCATCCCAGCCACAGGGTTGACCTGTCGTAACCCTGTTAGTCTCTAGGTGGCGATACCTCACAGGATCTCTGGCTTGAGAGGAAACTGTATTGCGTGCCTATGACTTCCCTTGGTGTTCGACCTAACTCTCTTTCCCCTGCTCAAAGTCCTGAGGCCACCAGAAGAGCAGCAGCGTCTCTCAAAAGGCTTGCCTAGTATATGGACCCCACTGCCTGAACCCCAGGCCACGTTCCAAAGCCTGGCTCTAAGGAGGCGTCTCTGTCATAGGCCCTTTGGACTACCGTTATGGAGGGGTCTACTGTTACGGAGAGGCTGGGGCTGTCCCTGAAAGCCCCTAACCACTCAGGTGTGCTCACACACTGGTCCCCCTCCCCACCTCCAGATGCACAGCACAGCCCCCAGGCTGATACAAAATCACCTTTATTCACAGACACAGTGACCCAGTTCACAAAGGAGGCAGTGCTACCTCTGTACTAGCAGAATGGACGATGGCTTCTTTTCCCACCTCCAGCCAGACAGCCCAGTGCTTGGACTTTCTCCATCTCTCAGATGACCCCCAGCTGGATGGGGGCAACTTACCAGCTCCAGTCTGCTTTCACAGAAAGGGTCTACCGGGTCGAGTGACTGAAGAGACGAGACCCAGGGTGGCACAGCTTCCCCAGGTCCCTGCAAGGGCAGTGCAGGCAGATGTCCTCCCTGGCATCCCCCTCGCAATGCCTCCCCAGTATGTTTCCCCCTGAGACACCCCAGAAGAACTCCCAGGAACCGCATGAAGAGTGTTCCACCCCCAAACCACTTTACACAGGGGAAGCTGTGGTTTGGAGGGTAACCTCTGGCCGGGGCCATAGAATTGGCCAGTGGCCAGCACAGAGCTCAAGACCCTGCCTGTCAAAGGCAGAAGCCATCTCTGAGGGTATAAAACCAGCCATCATCTAAGGGCCAAGGGCTGGACAAGCCTAGGCTAAGGCTCCACAGAAACCCTGAGCAGGCAGGGAGAGCAGCAGTGGTGGACACTCGCTTAGCAGGGCTAGGAGCCCAGCCTTCGGGATCCACCCTTCTAACAAAGATCTCCATTCTGGTCCCTGGCCCACATGTCAATAACCTTCGCCAACCTTCCAGAACTTTTGATGTCTTTACAGAGTAAACTCCTGGAGTGCCGATGCCCTTGAACCAACTACATTAACTTAGCTCCTACCCAGGGAGGAAGGGCATGGGTGGATGCCAATGTCCGCCATCCAAGAGAGGCTTATCCACCTCTTGGGAGGCCTCAGTTTGGAGTTCCACCTAAGAGCAGGACTGCCCATGAGCCTTGTGTGAGGGCCTGGGGGATTCTAGGTGACCGCTTTCTGCCGCCCTTCACCCGGGAACCCCCCCAACAGTAGCATTTTTAAGAGCCCCCAGGTTGGAATCAACCCACAAACAAAACTCACAAACCAAATAAATAAATAAATTAAAATAAGGAAAAGGGCTGTCCATAGCCCAGGAAACCCCCACCCCACTGAGGGCTCCTGTCCCTCCTGGGCACACGATGACAGAATCAGGCCAGGGCGGGCACTGAGATGAGGGAGGACAGGCCTTAGGGGTGGCTGTGGACCTGTTCTTTGAGACCCTGACAACAGTAAGGTCCACCTCAGCCTATACTTAAGGGCACCCTAGGCAACGGCACCAGTGAGATGATTGGTGCAAGTTATGGCAAGGAGAGATCCTGAACACGGCAGGTTGGCACAAGGTCAAGGACCTAGGACCTAGGACCTGGAATCTTCTGCAGCCTGTCTGTTTACCCACTCTGGGTAAGGAAAAAGAGACAGCACATGCAGTTTGCATCTGCCCAGGGTGAGAGGAGTCCACGGGCCTCTTCCCGAGCTGCCCCGGGGGAAGCTACATGTTCGCTCTCTCCAAGGTGCCACACGGGCAGCACAGCTTGGAAATCTGCCTAGATCGTGAGGGATGGCAACAGGCTGAGACTCGGCTTCAGCCCCTCACCATGCAGAAACCTGGGTAAAGAGGGAGGTTGTGGGGTAGCCTTCTCTCCTCCCCTCCACTCATTATGTGCTGCTTGTGCCCCCCCTGCACCCCGCTCCTTGCCTCAGACCCTCTCAGCCCAAACCTCCAGGGACCTTGGTTTCCCATGTTTAATGGAAAAGGAGGAAGAGTTTTGAAAACGTAGAAGGGACCCTGTTGGCTTTGCCCTTCGCTGTTGCTGGGCTGAAGTCTGCGGAAGTGGGCGTGCGGGTGGGCTCTGCGGTGGGCCATGGGCTAGGAGCTGCGGTAGGTCTTGATGATGTCCTTGATGGGGCGGCGGCAGATGGGGCAGCAGGCGTGCAGGGCCTTCTTGAGGCGCAGGCCACAGGCGTAGCAGAGGCACATGTGGCCACACGTGTAGATGACTGTGTCCACTGCGTGTTCATAGCAAATGGTGCACTCGTCACTCCACTGGCCCAAACCTGGGGTCACTGGTGACTCGGGCAGGCTCACAGGTGAGTTGGGGGCCGTCCCTGAGAGCAAAAGCACTAGTCACAATGGGATGTGACCCAGCCCAGCACAGGGCCTATGAGAAAGGGGATGCTGGGCTCATGTCTTCCTCCAGGATGGAAAGCCAGCTGTTCACACTGGCATCCCACCTTCCTGCCCAAATGTTGGGACCAATTGGGTTCCTGGCCTTCAGCTGCTCTTCCCTGCTAGAGCCTTCTAACTGAAGTTACTAGAAGCTGTGTCTAGAGGATCAGAGGATGGGGTTTTCACCTGTTGGCCATTGACTGCAGGGTATTTAAGCCTCCATGGTGCTATTAAAGAGGGGCTATGAATACCAGTGATTGAAGGTCCGTGTGTCGGTCTGTCTCTGCGTGAGTATTCTCAACCTCCAGCCCCTTTCCCAAAGCTCGCGAACTGGGGTCCAGTGCATAGAGCACAGACCGGGGCTGCGGTGCACGCCACCCAAAGGAAGAAGCTGAGCTCCAGTAGCTCGGCTCCGGCCACACGGCCCCAGACCAGGGCCGGAGGAGCAGCGACAGGAAAGGGGGAAAGGAAGAAAAGGACTTCCCAAGTCTTCTCAGGCATGGGCCTCGGCACTAACCCTGGGGGCACCCTCTGGGCTCCATGGCACCTATACTCATGTATCCACACACTGCACACACACACACCACACACAACAAATTTAAAATAAATCTTAGAAAAAGATTACTTTTTAAAAAGCGACAGCTATGCATCCATGGTGGTTTGAGCAGGTATGGCCCCCATAACCTCATGTATAAATGCTTGGCCCATAGGGAATGGCACTATTAGGGGGTGTGGCCTTGTTAGAGGAAGTGTGTCACTGTGGAGGGGGGCTTTGAGGTCTTAGAAGCTCAAGTCTGGCCACTGTGACAATTTTTCCTTCCACTTCTTACAGATCAAGATGTAGGTAGAACTCTCGGCTCCTTTTCCAGCACCATGTCTGCCTGCACACTGCCATGTCCTGCCATAGCGCTAATGGACTTGAAAACTGTAAGCCCGCTCCAATGAAGGGTTTTCCCTTATAAGAGTGGCTGTGATCGTGGTTGTCTCTTTACCACCGCAGAAACCCTAACTGAGACATCTGAAGAGCTGTGTCAACAGATAGGAGGGCTGCCCTTCCAGAGGACCTGAGTTTGACTCCTGCGCCACATCAGGTAGCTTGCAATCGCCTGCTACCTGTAACCCCAGCTCCTGTCTCTAACCTCATCAGGCACCTCACGCATTCATGCATGCACACACACACTCAAAAAATAAGTAAAATTAATTATTCAAAGAGTAAAAGTCCCCTGGTGAGAGCTGCCAGCCCCAGCCCTAACAAAGGCTGCACCGGCGGTCCCTCTCTGAAGAATATACGGATGAGAAGGGAAGCATGGCCCCAACCCCAGGGCCTTGGTACTCACCGCCAGTAGAGCCACCCAGAGGCCCGGAACTGCAGGTGCTGAGCAGGGGATCAGAGAGGCGGCTGCCCAGGGCATTGGGAGAGGTTGGAGTGGAAGCAGGTGAGCAGGGGAGAGATGGGCCGCCCCTTTCAGCCGTGATGGTGGAGCCTGGGGGGGTGGGGTGGGCCACAGTTAGCCTAATAGAGAAAACTTCAGTCCTACCCTCCCCGAGGGCCCCACGCCTGCCTGTAGGACAGCACAGCTGCGAGGCTTCTGGCTCCCAGCAAGCTCACGGTTCTGCTTTCTCTACACGGGCACTGTGGTCCCTATATTCCGGTCCTCCAACCTCTCCTTCCCTTGTTCCCTCCCTCCCTCCCTCTTCCCTGCCTAGTCCTTCCCAGGGGCACACTGTCCACAGGTGAGGCTGGGGACTGAGCCTTTGCCCCCCTGAGACTGTCCTCAAACCTCAGTCCTTGGGCAGCCATGGCTCCCCCTAAACACTGTCATGGCCACTGACTAGCCAGACCCAGCCACACAGCCTGAAGAGAATCCAGCTCTGTGCTCTAGCAGAACCACGAGCTTGCTGCAAGCAAGAAGCCTCGCTGCCCGTGTTTTCCTACAGGCCCTAATGCTCGTTACAACTGCTAGCTGTAACTCATTTAATGGTGTCATCATTTCTAAGATCAGTGAATGTTCACAGCCTGGGTCTCTTTCTCCTTCTTCCCTTTTCTCTCCTCCACACTAGAGACTGAACCTAGGGCTTCACTCGTGTTAGGGAAGCACTCTGTCCCCTACCCAGTACCCTTTTAGCTTTTTAGTTTAAGATAGGATCTCACTAAGTGAACTAGGCTGGCCTCAAACTTGCTCTGCAACCCAGGCAAACCTTGAACATCTGGTCCTCCTGCTTCAGCCTCCCAAACAGCTGGGATTACAAGCCCAGCTCATACAGTTTCTCTTACTACACTAATACTTTAAATAAACTATCATCTCTTTTCAGAAATGCATACCTATTTGCTTTTCTCACCTTGCCACATGGATTAGCATTTTCAAACCTGTCTAGAAAGGAACCCTGATATAGTTGTCTGTAGTAAAAACAGTTTTGATTTACCAGTGAACACAAAGGAAGCTGTAGGTTGTGTACACATGGATAAAGGAAATAGCCCTGAGTTATCAGTGTACGGAGACTTTCACAAAGCCAGGCATTTTCTGTACGGGAAACAGTGAATCTCCCTATGCTGCTCCTGGCTTTGGTTTTCCTTAGGAGTCGGTCAGGACTCCCCAGCACCACTTTGCTGGCTGACACGCCCAATTCTCCAAACAGCTAGGAGGTGTTAACAGTGAGTTCTGGGTGGCATTCCTTGACATCCACCTTGAACACTTGCCACCTGGGACAGACAAGCAATCCTGTGTTCTCTTTTCGTTCCCTTTCGCTCCCTCTCATGAACCCCTTCGGAAGACAGCCTTACTGGAGAGCCACTCCACTGTTAACGAGGTGGAGCTGATGTAAGAGCATGCCTTGCCTCTGTGTGGCTTCTGTTCCCTGAGAAGCAGTTAGTGGAGTCCGTTATCTCTCACCTCAGCTCAGATTTTGTGTGTGCGTGCTTCCCAGCCCGATTTCATTTGGATGAATGTATTCTCACCCCGGACTGATTCATCTCCCTTCCTGTTTTATTTTGTTTCCTCTAATCTGATTTCATCTCCTTCCTTCCTGGTTTATCTTTCAGCTCTAACTCCTTGGTACTCTGGCCTCACTTTTGGGCATAGCTTTTCTTCTTGCGGTTCACCCATCCCTTCATCTGGTCTCTCCGGAACTGGATGTCGGCCCTGATTACTATCCCATTTCACAATCTCTCCACACTCAGTCTCAACAGCACCACCTACACAGACACAAGCACCGGGCTGCATGGGCCCCTGACAGCAGGCGGAGCTCCGAGAGCAGCTCAGGCTAGCTCATCTGCACACACTACCAACCCTACCAAGATGCCTGGGTTGAGCCATGGGGTTGAGAGGCCCAGGGTTCCCTAACCTTACCTAAAGGTTTAAATAAAAATATAAAGCAGCTGGGCGTGGTGGTGCACTCCTTTAACCCCAGCACGCAGGAGGCAGCCTTGGGTCTCTGTGAGTCTGAAGCCAGCCTGGTCTACATAATGAGTTCCAGGACAGGCAGGGCTATTCAGAGACCCTGTCTCAGAAACAACGGCAACAAAATCAGAAGTCCAGAATCTACCCTACAGCTACGGCATTAGGATCTCTGCAGGCAGGATTCAGAGGTCTGCCGTTTACAGCAAGGCTAGTGAGAGACAGCCAGCAGGGTAAGGCCACCCTGGTGTGGGTGCAAAGCCACCCTGGTGTGGGTGCAAAGCCACCCTGGCGTGGATGGCACCAACCAGGGCTGGCTTCTCATGCTGAATAAAAAGAAAAATGAGAAATGGAGCTGAGCGCAGGCACTCATCTCTCTGACAGCAGGTGGGTGCCATGTGACTCCCTCCCGTTCCTGTCACCCCCCCTCCACTCGGTCCTCCACGAGGATGGACTGTTCTCTCAAACCGTGAGCCAAATCAGACCCATCTTCCCTTCAGTCGCCTTGTCAGACATCTGGTCACAGTAAGGGACACTTATGCCATAGAACCAGCAGAGCATGTGGCTTACACAAGCCCACACCCTCCAGTCCTTTCAAAGGGCCTCCTTTGAGAAGGGTTTGCAGCACTGCAATCTCGTGCCTGAAGGCCACCTGCTTAGGCATTCCCCTACTCTGACACAGGTATCAACCCAAGAAGACTGCAACTTTTCTGTTACCATTTTTCTGTTTTTGAGACAGCTTGCTAAGAAGTTCTGACTGAATAAAAAAAAATGCAGACCAGGTTAGCGGTGAACTTGCAGAGATCCTCCTGCCTCTGCCTCTTAAATGCTGGGATTACAAGCATGGACCACCGCAACCAGGCAACCTGATTTTCAGTAAGGCTCACAAGAACCCTGAGGAAACTGAGTCTCAGTTCCCTTTCCCTTATTTTTACACTGGAGCATACAGATCTTGTCAGGCTGTGTGTATCTGCTGGGATGTGAGTTGATCTCTCCCAGCCATCAGTGAGCCAGAAGTTTCCACCCCACCCAGAACTCACCTAGGGTGACAGGCTAGCTGCTAGGCCCCAGCAGGATCACCCCCGCACTCACCGAGGATGCGGACCTGCGTGATGGCGCCATGCAGGCTGAAGAGCATCCAGAGGGGCTGTGAGGCGTCCACGCACAGTTGCATGCCGGTCGCCGCGCCGTTGTGACTCAGGTGCAGCTCACCGTCGGCGTTGACCACCAGGCCCAGGATGTCGCCACTGTGCAGAGGCCCGGGCACTCGGCACACCGCCCAGAACTCCTTGCGGTCCACTAGGGCCTCGGGGCTGAAGGGCAAGTCGGCCGGCCGCAGCGTGCCAGGGTCGCACGTGGTGACGCCGAAGAACAGCGCTCCAGCTCGCGCACCGCCCGAGCGCGTGACCTTGATGAAAATGGTCTCGGCCACGCGCACCGGCCGGCTGGTGAAGACGAGTGCGCGCTCGTCGCGCCCGTGCTCCAGGCGCG